TAAAAACGAAACAGTTGTAGGTGGAAGTGACGCCTCTTGCTTTGCTCATGCTCTTTGTGTTCTGATATCAGCAAAGGCCCCATCCAAAGATGAGGGCAGCACAGAGGGCAGCAGGGTAGTGAGAGGCCCGCTGTGCACCACAGACCTGCTTCACAAGCATCATGTGCACTATTTACACTGTCACTCCTTATATCACTTTATGAAATGCAGTGTTTACCCATTTTAATATTTTATTCCCAATAAAAAGCACTTTTATTCCTGGATCAGTTGGAAAGTTATGATGAGAATGTACATGCACATGTAAATATGATGGAATATGCCATATTGCACATATTCCATTTAATTATTTAATTAACATATTAAATTTTTATATTTATAAATTTATATACATACAAATTCTCAACACAAATCCAGAGTAATGCACATGTAAATAACCCCATATTGTTTTGTTTTTCTTTTACACATACTTTGATAATTATTTTATAACTTGCATCGGTTTATTCCATATTTATATACTTTTAAATCTATTTATGTCAACTGTATGTTTATGTCCATATCTAGCACCTAATCACCTCGTCCTCGTATGTGTAAAATAGGCTACTACTTGGCAATGAAGCCTTTTCTAATTCTGATTCTGAAAATATCTCACTATTTGGTATAATTGCAACGGTAAAATCAATGTATGATAAGTCAGAGGTCTCTGGGAATATGTGTGGTTAGGGCTGGGCAATAAAACAATAATGATAATTATCGCAATATAATTTTCCTCAATAACAATATAACAAATGTTCAATATATCATCAATAAATGTTTGATTCAATTCATTTGAATCACTAACTAATTAGCACTTAATATTTATATTAAGATATTTATTTTGTTGAGGAAAAGGGACTGAAAGAAAGATTTACTAATCATATTTGTTGAAAAGTTTTTGTTTTGAATGTTCTTCCTCTGATTTGTGAAGTGATCCACTGAAGTGTTTGTCATGTTTTGACAATAAAGAAAAGTTTAACCGCACAAGGAACCTTACGATTTCTCCATCTATCACTCAAATATCTACCTTTAAACTTGAAAGAAATAATGAAATGTTTTTATCGTGATAACATTTTTAGCCATATTGCCCAGCCCTAGGTGTGGTCTGAATTTTTATTGCAGGATACTGGCTTATATTTTTTCATTTTTATCAACTTTTTGCAACCCCATTTGTTCCATGACAGACTTTTTTGTTCGCCTTTAGTTGGAAAACACTAACCATTATATTAATTAGTGTTATATATTGCATTTATAAAGAAGGTATACAAGCTACACACATACACACATCCTGTATTTTAAAAACAAGAGACTGAGCTACAAATCAGGAATATTTTTATTAAAAAAAACAAATGAAACGATAAACACTTCCACTTTTCATCCCACATCTGTTTGACTGACAAACGTAATCATGAAAAAGCAGTACTACAAAACGTGTCAAATTAAGAAAAACAAAAAAACAAAACTAGAATACAATATAACAAGTACTATCTGGTATGTACAAGCATTATAGTTTATTGTAATTATTATTATTATTATTATAGGCAAAAGGCAAAAAAGCTGAAGACTGCTGCTAAAGAAACAATGGCATGTCCACAAGCTGAGGACGCTCTGCTCTGAGCAGAACCTCGTCAGGCAGAAATCTACTGCTTTCGTAGGCAAATCCCGTTCCCGTGAGGACAGACAGCACATTTACAAGCTGTGAGGGAATGGGGATAATATCATTTAAGGTGATTTCAGAAAGCTAAGCTTGTGGAAGCCTGGTGAAGGAGACTCATCGTCAGAGGGACAAATAACTGAGGACGGTGGAGAGAAAAGACACTGCTGATCATTGACAGAGGTTATTGATGGACCAAACAGCTCCTAATCTCTAACCACTAGACTAGTCAAGGACAGAGGAACCAGCGTTACACCGTCACAAACACGGGTCGACACAGGTACAGAGGTACAGGTAAAAACGCGCAGGAACAAGTTCAAGACTTACATACAGAACCACCAGCGTTTTTAAAGAGACTTTAGAAAAACATGTAAACAGTAAGAATGAAGGGAAAGATGGTATAAAGGTGACAAAGACAAGTAAAGCTGCAGAACGTGGCTGTGATTTGAAACAAAACATTCAGTCTCTCCAAACATTGAAATGATGACTTTAAAACAAGGATCACTTTGTTGTTAATGTATTTTTAGATATCAGCAACCCACAAACCTCACAAATCTATCTGAATATTGTCACACTTTCTTCACATTTTCATTTTGGCAGTGATTTTGTTATTGATGCTTCTCTTTCAGATGAACATTTCCAAGTCAGGTGACATTTGACCTCCGTGTGGAGGCTGCAAACGAGAGAGGCATCAATGAACTTTGACTTTGTACAATTTAGGAAAAGATTAGACTTATATCACTGCAATAATTCAGCTAACAACACTACAAGGCAGAGAGCATTTTGAGTTAGTGGAGGTTGTCTCCAACAGCAGATACAAGATCACTGGCCCTCCATGGTTACAGTAAGTTAAAAAAAAAAATCAAGCATTTCATTCCAAAATGTTAGAAGTTTTGGAAAGTTTGGAATTTTTTTCTCTTTGAAATCCATATTTCAAATGTAAAAATGCAGTACCTTTTCATAATAAAGCATACATAAAAACAACTCTTCATTGTCACTAATGACTTTATTAAAAGGTTAAAATTATAGAATCATACTAAACAGATGTGCAAGATGCTTAATGCATAAAGTAAATCAAGTTTTGGGTTGCCACATTTTGGTGAAGGTTCCTAAAGTATCGATGTACCTTTATCCATGAATCACACTATGAATCTTCCTCATACCCTTGACTTATTAACACGCACAAAGCTAATGACTTAATGCAAACGTCTTTATTTGACCTACTAACATTTCAATATAAAGCAGTATTATTTGAATTTTTTGGCCACTTGGGGGCAGTGGAAACATGCTGTAAACACAGCAGTTGCATATTATGATTTTATATAGATACTATTGGTGCAAATGATTGCCTATTTACACACCCAGCAGTCACAGAGAAACATTAGCGTTTATTTATTTATAGTCGTGTTTCTGGGCAACTGATGAATTCAACTCCAATATTCACTCTCTTTTCAGCTCATTTTGAGTCTCCACCAACTCGATGAGGGAATTTAGCTGCTAAATCCTTCACGATATTCACCAGCTACACAAACTTTGTCTGGCTGCTGTTCGGTGCAGGGCAAGAAGTGCAAAGTTGTGTTTTTAGAGCTTTTCAGATTAAATCAGCTGGAAAAGAGGCAGATGAGCGCAGCAGCACAATGAGCTCAAAGACACTAAGACACTCTGTAGAGCTGAAGAGAGCTGGAGAGCTGAGTGATGATTCGCTTGGGGTTTGTCAATTTGAGCAACACCTTTCTCATTACATTTAGTAATTTTACCCATTGTTAAAGAAAATAGATTGACAAGTGCAGCTTTAAAAACAAACTGGTGTTAGGATATATTGTAAACTAATTAATCACTGAGATTTGGCTGCACAACCTGGCAACCCAAAAACTTCTTTCCATTCGTGCATAATAGCAGAACGTTAATGAAGTCATCAGTGGCAAATTATAAACCCTTTGTAACTATGGGGTTATTTTAAAGTGGTACTAAAATGATTGTACCTTTTTCTTGTGATTCAGTTCGCTGTCATAACAGCAAATTATGCCAAAACATATATATACACACTTTTTAAGAGCAAATGTCAGTATTTTCAAATGTGATTCATTTTGGAATGAAATGATGAAGCAACCTCCACGTCAAACTACAGTACATCAACACTCGCTGATATTCAGGAATAACGAAACCCGTCAGTCAGTCTGTTTAGCAAGCCCTTAACTGGTTGTCAGCAACACAAGTGAGGAAAAAACTACAGGTTTCTGTTTGTTGTTTACACATAAAGCTGTTCACACAGACGTTAAAATGAACATCTAAATTCTGATGTCTGTTTTTAGGCCAAATAACACCAAAAGGATTGTATTATAGTGGCACAGAACTCTACTTGTGCCTTAAAACTGTAAACTAAATTAAATACATTCAAATATTTGGAAGTACTTAAAACCCAACAACACCAAACTGGGTGCTTGTCCAGACGAGCTGTTAACCAAACAGAGAGTGAACAAACAAATCGAGCTCTGAAACCTTTCAGTGTGAAACCTCATGTAACAGGTGCTGCCTGACAGGAGAATGAGGCGACTTTAAGACATGCTGCTGACTGTTAACACTGTAATATGGAAAAAACAAAACTATGTTGTGATCCATTTTCAAACAAACAAAAACATTTAAAGCATTTAAATCAAGACATTGGCATTAATACTATTAAAAAGACAATTCTGCTAATAACCGGAGACAGAGAGCGTACAGAAAGTACGATGCAGGTGACACAAGGCAGAGCTACACAGGTCTGGTGAGCTTTGCATTTTTAAAAAATGCTTTTAGAACAATTATTATAAACCACTGTTGCAGACACATTCTTGGATTTGCAGTCGAAATTTCGATCAAATTACTTCAGTGAAACTGAATTTAATTTTGTTTTCTTTTTTAAAGTGTTTAGTGGCGAAAATACATTTCTTTTTTTAAACAATCTGTATTAGCCTTGTGCCAGGCCACAAAGTAAACAAGACGACCTCCGCAGCTTTTGCAGCCCTAATCTGATAATCAACAATATTGATAATGACCACATCATCAACACACACACACACACACACACACACACTGCATGCCCTCTGTCACACAGTAGAAAAGGGTTTTATCCTATTTAGTGATTTTCTGACCATATTACATTTATTTCACCACACACACACACACACCACACACACACACACACACACACACACACACACACACACACTTGTTACCAGTTACTGTACACTCACTAATAACCTCACAACAACCTAGAGAACGCACGGAGCAGAACTGTGCCAAATAACTGAAACCAAATTATTATTTTTTTCCCGATAAAGTAGAAGAGAAATTAGATTTTTACCAGGTCCGCTGTTTTCACTGCCAGCTGCCAGACCGTTTCCAATACATAAAGGATATTTGGGGACAACTGGCGTACAACATTGTGCTTTAGTGCAGGTGATTAACTCCCATTTTTGCAGTTTAGATAGGCAGAGTGCATGCCGAACCCCCCCCATTCCATAATCCCATCAAAGCTGCTGAGTTTTAGACGCATTTTCTGGTTTCCTGTTGCACATTTGGTAGGGTCTGTTGTGAAGAGGATGTGTATTCAGTAAATAGTGCATAGCAAATAAGAAGATAAAGAAAACTGCACGTTACAGTAGCCCCTGCCCTGAAATCCTGGAACTCTTCACAAAAATGTATACTATGCACCACAAAACAGCTTTAAAGGGAAGTTTTTTTTGTTTTTTACTATTTTCACTAGAGCACACTTGAAAAAAAAAAAAGACACTTCCCCTTTATTTTTATTCTTTTTTTGAAAATAAACATTTGGCATTAGACATCCAAACGACTTATTCTGGTAAAGAAAAAGTATTTTAAATTATATGGAAGCCCTTGAAAAAAATTCTAAAAAAAGAATGGGCCTGTTTCAAAGGGCGTCTGTTCTGTGGACGTATTGGAGGAGAAATCACAGGCAGGTCTTTTATTTGACTGCATTTTGTGAGTTTTCACTGGCTCATGCAAACACTGAAGACCCGTTGCGTTTTTACTTTGAGTTACTGTTTCTGGCACATGAGTGGTGAATCTGTTAGTTTGGAGCATGCACGTGTGGGTCAGGTCTTGAGGTGAGAAGGACCTTGAAGGGGTCAGAAGTTGAGGGTCAAACTTTAAGGGCTTGAAATCGGTGAGTTGTCGCATGCTATTGCATTCCATAAAACGGAAACGTAAATGGCAGTTAGCTAATAAACTTGTGCTGTAAGCCCCTTGTAAAAACACACACACAAACACACACACAGACACACTGTACATTCACGTGTGCATGCACACTTGCCACACACACAAACACACACACCAAAAGGGGCATTAAAGTGACTAGTAACAGCGCTGGACCCCAACACCTTCCTTCTCCCCCCCCAAAAAAATAAGACAACTGTAGACAACTGCCAAAATAAAAAAAATAAAAATAAAAATAGTCCAGCCGCATGACGTCTTCCATCAGCTCTGCAGGTGCTCAGAGGTGGGGTCTTTGCGCAAAGTTGTGATGAGATTGAGGGAAGTCGAAGGTCAAGTCAGGGTCAGAGAAGCTGGCGGGTGCTCACCCCTAGGAGAGGGGCTTGCTGTAGCCGAAAAGTCCGACAGGTAGGTATTTGACGTGAGTGGGCCACTGGGCGGCCAGCTGGAAGAACTTAACATCGTTCCACTCCACGCCGTCTATGGTCACTGGAAGGAAACAGAAACGAGACACAAGAAGTCTGAGTAACGGAAGGAACGGGGAAATAACACTAAAACAACAAGACAAAGAAGAAGATTTGAAACAAACACACATAAAGGAAATGGAGACAGAGAAGCACCCTGATCCTTCACGTTACCTTTCAGGATGGTCTGCTGCTGCTTGGCGGAGCAGATGAGTCGGCTGATGCCTTCAATGACCTGGCTCTTTGAGTCTACATCCTTCTCCTTTGGCTTCTTTCCCAGAAAGATGGTGGGAACTGTGGAGAGGGGGAAAGAGAAAATGTAAAAGCAGCCCAATAGGGGGCAAAGCGCTATGAGAGATGTTACATTATAGTAAATCGGTGTGGGGTTTGATCAGCTGATGTTCAGATCACACTGTCTAGATTCACTTTGTTTAGGATTCAATGTGACTGGATTCTTGAAGATGAAACGACAGCATACAAGATTTTATATTTATATATAAATAATTTTATATAAATAAAACCTGCACATACAGCATAAATGTACATATCAACTGGCAAAAAGAACCAATTATTAATATGAAAACCCTGATTAGTATTATGTGCTTGTTCCTAGAACGTGGTATGAATAATTACTCTAATGTCTCCCCTCTGGTAACATTCACTCATCTCACCTTTCTTGTTCTTCTCCTTGGTGACCACGGTCATGGCCATGGTGCTGACCTGGGCCTGTGGATCGTTGCTGCCCCCACCTGGTAGCCTGCTGACCTGCAGTGAGCGGAAGGCGCTTTTCAGCGTGTTCTTGCAGCTAGTGTCACGCCGCTCGCCCTCCCGCCGCTTCTCGGCCAAAGAGGCAAGCCAGTAGTCCACCTGCAGGCCGATGGCATCCACGCCGTGAGACATACTGGGACTCCTAGGGACAGAAAGCGTTTAGGGACATATATTGAAACAATATACAATAATGAAAAACTTTTCAGTAGCTTTCTTCCGTCTTAGGTTTCAGCAGAATAAATGAAAGGAGGAAATACAATATCATGAAGGGTCTTTCTGTTTGGCCCTCCTCTTTTCGTTCTCCTTTTGAACCTTTTTTTATCCTTTTTGTCAGCCTCTGCAGCGCCGGACCTGCTGCAATTCCTTTCAATTCAAAACTACACTTCACTGTTGAATTTTGTCCATTACACTCAACACATGCACCAAATGTATTCTGCAGAGGGTGAAATCCAAAGATTAGATCAGACACAGCTGCAGTCTGTCTGGCTCTTCAGAGATGGACTGCAGCAGGCAGAACAAAACACGGTCTGCAGCAAAGACCCACTGAAGCAAACAGATGAAAACATGACTGAAGTATCAAAGAGTCCCTCACTTCTTTGAGCCGGTTCCCAGTCGAGCTAAACGGATACTAAAAGCAAAATATGCAACTCTCTTTGCTTATATAACAAAACATAAATAGATGGTTAAAAGGCATTAAAAGTCCTGTTAAAACTCAGAACTGAAAGTAACATCAATGTGTACATAAGTACAGTTTGAGCTACTGTAATTTGTGACCTTTGTTAGTTTTACTCTACTTACTACATTTTAGACGAGAATATTGTATTTTTCACTGCACTACTTTTATCTGACAGATACTAGTTATTTTAAAGGCCACATTTTGCAAATTGTACGTTTGTTTACGTAAAACATACAATATGAAGCTAGAGTTGCAGCAGTGTACGGGTTTCACGTTATATCATACTGCCACGTGCTTTCGCTTATCTACAGTATTTTTAAACAATGCAGCCAGACAGAGAATCTGAACTGCGCCTTTAAAGGGAGACTTTTTTAAACATGCTTCCATTTGAAAAAGTTTGGTCAGGACATAGTATTTTGTGAAATAATAATGAAGCGTTTGCTCACCCTTCACTGTAACCGTGTACCATCATACCATATTTATTATACGGTTATCGTACGATGAAAATCTCTTACCGTATCTCTATATGAAGCATAAATGCTCCCCCTAAATCATTTAAGCACTGATTACACATGGACAAATAATCCTGTTAAATAAATAATTCAGAACTTACTTTTAACACTGTTTTATTCTGACCATCCCTAACATTTGGAGTATTAATTAAATATTTATCCATTGTGGTACCGGTGCTTTTATGAGCAGAATCTGAGGATTTTTCCTCCACTGATTTTGAGGGTGAGGGGAAACAAAGGAGAAAATGAGTGCCAGGCCCTGAAGGTGTCAGAGATGAAAGGCAGAAGGAGAAAATAATAAAGCAGGTCAGGCTTACCCTTGTACTGACAGGACGCTGCCCATGGAGGGGGAGGAGGGGGGCGTGGCTGCCTCTTTAATCATCCCTGTGGGTGAGCTGTGGGAGGGGGGAGACGTGGAGGGGACGGCCAAGCTTACCGCCACACCCTCTTCTGTATCTCCTTGACGACCACAAATTGAAACGATCACATTATCAACATCATCATAAATCAAACTGAATGACTCTCTAGTTGTTTTTGTGCTCAGTTTGTGACGTGTGTTTAAAAAACTATTTCCAAACCCTCACCTGTTGGAGAAGGACCAGACTCGATGAGACCAACCTTCACTACCTGGAAAACAAGAAGCAATGTCAGCAAAAATATCTAAACGATCAGCAATCTACTGCAATACCATGCAAACATTCATGTTTGCCTGAGTACTGTCTTACCCCTATGAAAGGAATAAACTTCTGGTAGGAGTCTTCATCTCGCCTGGAAACAACACCGAATATTAGAGAAAACATAAAGAGTAAATTCAGAGTGTGTGACGATCTGGCTTGTGTTTGCGTGGCGTCTGCACTCACGTCCTGTGTTTGCAGGTGAGCATGGCCTCAGCGATGGGCAGCTGGTGTGTGACTGTGGCTCCGCTGATGTATTGGGCGATTCTTCCCGCCACATCCAGCTGATCTGGAAGGGACAGCAAGACACAGTTCATTGTTTGTCATCACTCGTTAGAGGTTGCATGCATTTATCCGTATGGCGGGCGTTGTACCTGTCTGTGGCGGCTCAGAGCGGCTGAACACGTCTCTCCACGGCCCGTCCAGGAAGGACGAGCTGTAACGATTGTCGAGGGCGCCAAGGTGTTTGGCAACCGGATGGGAGCCTGATGAAGACGATGGAGTCAAAGTGAAGGGAAGGAAGGAAACAACAAAATAAAAAAGTCATCCCTCAAAGTCAGCTTGTTATGAGGTGTAACTGTAGCGCTGCGGTTGGGCCAATCAGATACTGAGACACAGTGAAATCAAATCAGCATGCACACAAGTGACTGAGTAACGGATAAAAGTGAAGATCACCATGGAAAAACAAGTGGACTCTCTTACCCAGAGGCACAACCAGGAAGCGCATGTGGTTGAGCCAGTCGGACGTCTTGTTGGCGAGCTGAGTGACAAAGAACTGCAGGATAGCTCCCAGGTAGCTCTGGCTGCCCACTGCCGCCACCTTCACCGCCCTGGGCATGGACGAGTTACAGTTACAGCTGCAGAGATGGACAGAGAGAGAGAGAGAGAGAGAGAGCAAGCGAGCGGTATCAGTACTGCATGGAGGTGGATCCACTGGAACTTCACCACAAATCCATCAAAATCTCTGGAAAACACCTGAAGAAAGATGAAAGGCAAACAGATTGAACTGCTACAAAGCTATTGTGACGGCCCTGCCTAGTTGGGTGTTTAACTGTGTGGTGTTGGGCAGTTTACTGTGTTCCTTTTGTCCCTGAAGGTATCAGCGCCCGTAAGCCAGATTGGGAGCACCTGGGCCAGACGCTGTGGGAGGATAAATACTCCGGCCCTTTGCTCTCGAGCTCTCTCTGATCTGGTCCCACTCCTGCCAGCAGCATTATTCCTTTGTTTTGTTACATTATGTTTGTTACCACTCCTCAACACCCAAGCTCCATACTTGTCACTCATCCACATCTACACCACTGATTTCACTGACTAACACACTCTACATCGTTGATTATTAGTTTAGTTATTTAAGTTGCTACAATAAATATGTTTATTATTGGCAATCCTCTGTGTCCTCTCCGTATTTGTCATGGCCTTTGAGCCGGGTTATGACACTATCAACAGAGAAATTCCACTGGACATTTTAAAAGACAAAAAAAGAAAAGGAATTTGAACTGGGGATTGAAAGAGTTTGCTTTAAGAAATCACGGAAACCGTCAAGGGAATCTGTCGCCACTGACACCTAGACATCAAAAGCTTTATCCTTTAGTTGAAATAAAATGTGAAAATGGTCAATCGCACTTTCCCAGAGTTCAATGTGACATCTTTAAATGTCTTGTTTTGTCAAGCCAACCGTCCAAAGATCAAAGATAATCAATTTTCAGTAATAATCAAACTTGTTGTTAATTAATTTTCTGTCAATTAGCTAATCTACTCACTGACTAATTGTTTACTATTGAATGTTTGTATATTTGGCTTTTCTAAAAATAGTACTTCGCACTGTGTAGCGTCTTAGCCTACCTATCTTTGCTGTCTACCAACCTAGCAATTATGAAACTTGTTCTATTGACATCCTTACTCTACCAACAGTGATAAATTGCCTTTTCACATTCTTTCAACAAACATACTCACTGGACGTCGCTTTGGACATAAGATGTCCTAAATGTAAATGTGAAATGTTTACGCCCCAAAATTAGACATGAATACAATCAAAGTTCCAGGTTTCATGACTCTGACAGCTGATTAAAAACGTACTTTTCTGTATAAAACCAAAACACATTTGTACAATCAGATTGGATGTACAGAGATGTGAAGACATAATAATTCTCTTTAATGTTCACAGCTGAGAAATTCTTTTTCAACAGTATATAACCAATTTGTGTCTAAAACACCATTTCTTTCTTTTTCTTAATCCTTATTTTCCCTTTTCTGCTTTGGCAAAGTCCAATAAAGTAAACTGTAAAATGTGTGTGTGTGTGTGAGAGAGAGAGAAAGAAAAGTAAAGGGATGGAAAGAGAACAGGGTGAGGAGGATAAACAGAGAGGGATGTGAGAGATATGTAAAGAGTTGTTTTGTTATCAACAGAAGAAGAGTCATAGATGTGGAGTCACAAGGGCAAAGACGAGGAGGAGGGAAAGATGTGGAGGATGCAGGAGAAGAAGAAAGAAAAGGTCAAACACAGGATAGAAAACAGAAAGATCTCAGTCGCAGGAAAAAGACCAAGAAGATGAGTCATCCAGCAAACCAAGGGACGCTAGCACTAAGAATGTGTGCGAGTATGTGTGCGCGAAAAAATACTCACAATTTCTGGATGCGAGTGAGCACAGCCGACAGCACTGCCTGGATTTCAGCTGCAGAACACGTGCAAACCACAGGGTGTCTCTGTACCTGGAGCTGCTCTGCAACATACTGTGAAACACACACACACACACAAAGAGCAAGACGTGTGAAGAAAAACGCCCACCAAGTGATGTTGGGGAAACACACACACACACACACACACACACACACACACACACACAGCCTTACCTGCCCCTGCCAGTCAGTGCAGTTGACCAAGATCAGACTTTCGGGGAGCGCAGAGTCCGACAACAGAATCTGGTTCAGCTGGTCGTACACCACCTTCCTCAGGAGCTACACACACACACACACACACAGCAAAGTACATAAACCCCCCTACAGCAACACTTTATTTACTCTGCAGATGACTCATCAGCACATACATAATTTATTTTTTCTGAGCTCAAGGCGATTCGGAGATTATCAGGATGCATTTGTATTCTTTACTTTGGGAAAAGATAAGAAGCGAGCCTGTGGAGGGGGACTCAGAACAATGGTAGCTGTTCTTTTTAAAAAGAGTAAATCCCTCTGTGGGACTACAGCAACACGATGATTTATTTCTGTATGCAAGGTTTTTCTGATGCTGGAGCTTGGGATGATATCCCGGAAAGAATGCAAGTCCCTTCACTAAAAAGCTAACTTACAGGTGTGCTGTGTCCCAGCTCTGGGGATCTCTCCGAGTCCGAGCTGTTGGTCCGTTCACTCAGAGGTTTGGACAGCTGTCTCTCCTTCATGGGGGTGCTGATGCGCTTCTGTCTGGGGGTGTGGCCTCCGTCCAACCTGGGGGGGACGACGACACAGACATGAGTCACCAACATATTAAGTTGCACAATATTCTTTTCTTCTCGCTCGCTGTCTCGATGTAAATTCTTGGTTGAACGACACGGCAGACTAAGTGTTGGACAGCAACCAAACACAGCTCGCTGTCTTTTTACAACTTGCATCACGTACGTATGCGGCTGATCTATACTGGCGCCAGAGATCGACGTCACTGTTCACCTGACCTGACAGCACCGATCACAAATGCTCCTGGTCATGGTTTTATGAATGAACCTGTAAAGCCTTATTGTCACTCTGCGGTCAAGGTGTTTTTCCTTCCCGCCCAGTAGAAAGAAGGTGTGTGGGTGTGATATCGTACCCACAGGTGTGACTGATTTGCTATGTGCAGTGCTTCTGAAAGAACTTCTCTTCATTCCCCAAAATTATTTCGGGCTGTCCCCAACTAACAATTTAAATAGTCGAATCAGAATTGTCAGGTCTTGCCTACAGTCGCCTGATGGTCGAATCATGTGTGTTTACGCGGGGGGAGCCTGATTCGACTCCCAATCTCACAGTCCAAGCTTCGCAGAGCCGTTATGAAACTTTGTTTACGTTATGAACTACTGGTTTTCTCACAATAAGTTAATATACTGCCTGTTACGATATAAATATCAACTTATAATGCTGTAAATAAACATGTGAAGATTTTAATAAATTGTTTGGTAAAGTGTGTGTGTGTATGGTAGAAGAGGAAGAGAGACAGAGACAGAGGTTGTTATACACGATAGCTCCACTTTAATCTTGAGGAGCTGCAGAGCTGCAGTCTCTGCTCATGTAACTAACTGTGCTTTCAGAACTCAAGCGAATCGAGCGTCCGGGGCGGTGAGTTTACATACAAAGTCAATGCAAAGACGCGTAGAGCTGCGATTTTATGTCGGGCCTTCTCGCGTTGTGTGTGAACACTTGCAGCGAATGTACTCACGCGAGGAAAGCGTTGCGAGGATTAAATTCGCGTTTGGTCTGAAAGCAGCATCACACTTTACATTTACAGCTAAACTGAGGCTTAGTGTTGACCCTTTACTCTCTGCTCTACTCGCCTGCCTGTCATGTGCTGAGTTGTGCATGTCCGCCGAGAATTGCATACACCTCATGGCTCTATTCCAAGTACAGTTTAAAAACTATATATTATTCTTTGTGTGGTTCATCAATAGTGAAAAATGATTCAAAGGTCTCGCAACATGCACGCACAACTCTACACAAAGCTAGTGGTCTGTCTCTCTTCATACATACATAAAGTAGTGACTCCTTACCTTGGCGATGGCATGGCCTGGGTTTCATTTTTGCTGCTCTTCATGGGTGTACGGGGTTTCTCTGCCACTGACACCATGATGCAGGGGCCCACTTCGGCAAACAGCTCCTGATCTGTTAGCTCCTACACACACACACACACACACACACACACACACAGACTGTCAGTGTCAGAAAAAGGAGATAGCGGCAGTCCTAAAGCCATCATCTCCACTCCATCACTCTTTGTTTCTCCCTCACTTCTGTTCTCTCAATCGGTCTCACTTACTGCACAGATGGCAGCGAATCCCCACATGGAGTGATATTAACAAAGATCCCGACACACCATTCATTCTCTGTCCTTCAAACACACACACACACACACACACACACACACACACACACACACACAATGAGAGTCGTACCAGTGTGTCGGTCTCAGACAGGGCTTCCTCCAGGTTGCGGCTGCGGGAGGGTTTCATCTTCTCTAGAGGAAGCTGCTCCCCCTGCTGAGAGGACAAGGGAGAGACAGTCAGTCTACAGGCTTAATGGGACATGAGATTAAGTAAATACAAGGAACATAAGACATTATGCAGCAACTGGACGACAAGAAACATCCCAATAAGCTAGCAGTGATGTCCAGAACATATTAGTTTTCTCTGCTATTTTACGTAACAAATGGTGTTCCAGTTTACGTCACACTAATAATTTGTATTTAAAACTATTTACTGAAATGAAAACATGTTTTTAGGAAGCGTGCAGACACTAGTCACAACACTACAGCCCTCATTACAGATTTACTCTGAAAGGAGGAACTGCAGCAGAGAGACACTGAGTGAAATCCATTCAGCTCGGCGAGATTAAACACACTTTTTATTGAGCAGATGGCGACCGTCAAAGAGCTTTTGGATTTCTGCTCCGTTAAGGAAACATTTCTGTATATTTGCACAATGCTCCCCCGCTGGGCGACGTTCATGGGCTTCGGGTTCAGGGTATTCACCACATCAATGCAGAGCCGCATGTTGTTTTCAAGCTTGTGTTGCTTCATTTTATGGTGTATTCTTGCACTGTTTTCTGTTCCTGTATGCTGTTTAGTGCCATGTGTAAACTGCAAGTGCGAAAGTTTGGTTCAGTGTAAAATGCCTACAATTACTATTTACTTTTTAATGGCCTAAAGAGGAAACTTTATCCAGAAATTCTCTTGTACAAACTGAATATGTAATCTTGTATGTCTTTTATCTTTCTACACTGTTAATCAATTCATCTATAAAAAAATCTTTCAGGTTTTACAGCTTAACACTACTCATTACTTTTATTTAGTCATAAGTGTGTATTGCACCTGTAACACGAGTTTAAATGAGGTCCTGTTGCCTTTTGGGGACAATAACGATCTACTGCAATCAGCGATGTGGAGGGTGAAAAAACACAGTTCAGGTTTTCTTGAACACCTCTCAGCTCATATAGGTGAAATTCCCGCTGACGCTGCTGCTTCCTCCAGGAACGGAGTTACTCACCAGGCTGAAAGAGTCTCTGCCCAGGCTGCCTTTGCTGTTCAGACTGCCAATCTCCGTCTGCGAGCTGGACTGGGACATCCCCTCAAAGAACGGCCTGAACACACAGACACAGAAATATAAGCAAACTTTTTACAAGCAGTTTTTTGTATCAGGCCTTTTTCACAGCTTACATTTCAACCCTGAACCTGAAGCATTATTTAGTCTGTGCTTTTCCTACTGTGACATGTGAAAAAGGCCTTTATCTTTTATTAGTGGTTTCTAAAACAAACATCCACAGAGAAGCTCATCAGTATGTTATGAGTCCAAGTTTCACTACATAATAACCAGTTACAGAGTCACCTTTCAGTTTGTGTGCTTTATAATATTTTGAGGCTAATAAGATCAGAAAAAAAATATACAGGGCCGTACAAGATTAGTCCAAATCAAAATAGAAAGTACACAAGACACAATCACAAGAAAGGACAAAAAATAAGTTTGAAAAACTTTTTAAAAATCATCTATCTGCTCCTCTGTGACTCCGTTTGAAATATGTTATTGACCTCCTAAGAACAAGGTTTTTGATTTTTTACTCTTTCAGCTTTCAGACTTTTAAATAAATAATGATGAGGATCACAGGACCCCCTAGCTGTGAGTTTAAGGCTCACTGATTAAAATTTCACTTTAGGAATCTGACTTTCTTTCTTTAATATATATATATGCTTAAAAAAATGTGCGGAATCTTATATAATATATATTTTTTATGTTTTTTTAATTCTGAGCTTTTGGTTTTCATTTTCAAAGTTAGGAAAAATAGGATTGAAAGTCAACTGACCCACTTCTGGTCCATGCAAACCTCAAATAAACTTCAATATCTGACTGCAATGAGCAGTTTTCACCAACAGAGGAGGCTCTGAATTGCCAATGTAGAACTGTGAGACCTATAAATGTTTGTACTGCTTGTGTCAAGCATGCAGAACCATAGTGTGTGTGTGTGTGTGTGTGTGTGTGTGTGTGTGTGTGTGTGTGTGTGTGTGTGTGTGTGTGTGTGTGTGTGTGTGTGTGTGGGTAGGTATCTGTGATGTATTGTAGGTGTGTGGCTGGTGATATTATGTCTGTGCCTGTGCCGTTACCTTAGCTTAGGCTTGGGTGTGCTGAGGATGCTGTCGGTCTCCTCCATCTCTGGCCCGCTGTCGCTGGGGTTGTACATCTCTAGACTGTCGTAGAGCTCGTCCAGGTCCTCCTCCACCTCCTGGATCTGCTCCCTCGACACATGCTCCAGGCCAAAACCGACCTGGACGAGAGAGGAGACAAGTGACCAACGGACACATGCGCAGGGAAAAACTGGCCACGCAGTTTTGATCAGTTCTGTTCACACGTACAGAAGCTATAACAAGCGTCTACTTTAACCGAGCGGCAATAACTTCCCGTAAAGAGGAGAGATGTTGATCCAGTACCAATGCCCTGTTTTATCTTTGTTTAATTTAGACTCTGTTTACCTCACGGTGTGAACCTGATTGGGATCATTCTCCTTTATGTAAGCTAACATTTATATACAATAAATCACCTTCAGCATTCATTTTAGGCTTGTACAAATCTGGATCACATTTGAGTCTGACCTTGGCAACGACAGCTTGACAAAATAATATTGATCTTAATCAGCAAATGGACTTTTCTCAGTTGTCATGGAGTCGGTTTCAGTTCCACACTCAAGTCAAACCAGATGATAGTATTGCTCTGGTTACAACTTTATAATAACCATGACTCAAAAACAGTATTTAATGTGGATCTGTTACATGTGGCTGTATATACACATACACACACAAGAGCAGAACACCAGATAATAGAAATAATTGATGTGACAGGAGAACAAAGGAAAAAAAATACTGAACTAATAAATACATGATTTAGCAAAACACAAAGGAAATAATTGCTAACGGTGTGAGATCAAACACATTTTGGTGGAATCACTCCAGAAGCACATAAACACATTTTAAACACACACACACACACACACACACACACACACACACACACACACACACACATTTACGGTTATGTTCTATTTTTAAATCAACAGTGTTTAGTGTTTCTGCCAGCTGAATCTCTCCCACGCACCTTTCTGTGTCTTTAAAGCCAAATACTCAAATACTTGTTGACTTCAGCCAACGCCTCTGAAGCGCATACACACTCTAAACCTCGCACATGAAGAGGAAGTGTGGATGTGTGATACCAGTGATACCAGGAGGTCAAAAGCACTCACCTCATCCGTGACTTTAAACCTTTTCAGCAAGGCCACAAACTTCTGCTTGATGTTGGGTTGCTGTGGAGAAAGAGAACGGAAAAAGAGGACAACATGAGACAATCAGGAGATGGATGTTCACATCTGTGTGTGTGTGTGTGTGTGTGTGTGTGTGTGTGTGTGTGTGTGTGTGTGTGTGTGTGTGTGTGTGTGAGGGAAGGAGGGGATGCGTAGAGTAGAGGAGAGATGACAGGAGCAGGATAGAACGGTAATTTCCGAGCTCACGTTTCACGCTTGGTGACTCAAAACAGCAACAGCTAATGGATACAGCGCCAGGACATATTTCTGTTTGTCACATAAAGCAAAAGCGTTATCTGTGCAGATGTTTCTGTGCAGGCTGGGGCGTGACTGCATCTTCTATTGGAATATGTGAGAGCGTGGCTCCCACAGATGTTCGCCTGAATAAGTACAAAGGGCTGTTTATTTATTTAACAAAAGAAGTTATTGGAAAAGGAAAGTATAGCACCTGCAAAATTAAAAATAACTCAGCAGCTCAGGGTTTTCTTCAAATATGCTTCTGAAGTTTGATGTTTAGAAAATATGACCGTCTTATTCTACTAAAGGCAGCGAATCTTCAGCTGCATACATACACTGCTTGTTTTTGGCCCACGTCTTTTCAGACAAAACTTTTTTTAAACCTGCAGTTTACAGTTTTTTGGGGGATTTGACGCTGAACCTTTTAGTTGATATGGTGAACTTGTTAGCAAACAGTTGATTATTTACACATCCAGCTGTTTCGGAGCAACATTCATTTGGTCCACTTTATCCCAGCTAGTTGCTAAGTTTTTTTGTTTGGTGTTTGGTGCTGAGCAAGTAGTGTAGAGTGGGTTTTTACAGAGTTTTCACTGAAAACAGCCGCCTACTGCGGACGAACTGGCATTATGAGAGCGAAGCTAAACAGTAAAATTGCGGACTGAGTAGGACTAAGTAGGCCTGAGTGAAAACACTTCCATCTGTATCTGTTCATCAAATTAAATGATCCGTGTCTGTAGCCAAATTATCAATGGGCGGGACTTAGTCTGGATGTGGGCGGGGCCGATCAGACGTTATTTAAGCCTGAAATTGGTTTATGTTGATCAGACGTTTTTGATTACAATAGTAAGAGAACTTTTATTAAGGTTCCTATATTTAGAGTTTATTAGAAATCAGACATTGACACATTTTACTGATGATACTCGTAAAACGTAGCCTACATTATCTGTACCAAATACTCGTTTCAACTGAGTACTCGCTCAGCCCCACTATAAAGCAACAGATCGTTTAAAATGCTCATTAATCTCACACAAAATTTGAGTCCTCGACACACCTTAAATTGACAGTGCTTCCAACTGTGTACTGATTTATAGCAATATGTGATTCATATTTAATTTGTTGTTAGATATTTCATTTGGTGTTTCAGTGGTCAAAAATATTAATTTCAGTCTGTTTAATTGATCCATTATGATTCGGTTATGCTATTTCATGATTTGGAATAACACCCATATTGCCCATTCTTATACAGTATATTTCTTCCACATCTATTCACATTAGTGTCATCACAGCTTTATGATTTGGTGACTGGCATGCTTGTAAATGTGGCCGATGAAAGTGACCTTTTACTAATTTTTCAGAGACAAAGTTTGTTAGGATCCTGATTGTTGGTGACAGAATGAAACATTAATTACTTGATACGCAATAATTGGAAATCAGCATTTTCCCTCTTATTGCAGGAAAACCCGTTTAAGTACATGGATGCAGAAAGCAGACAGGTGGAGCTTTCACACTGTGAGACTCCTTATTTTCAGAAAACGTTCTGGGTGTTTTTGGTGGCAATCAGCTTTGAGGAAAGCTTTCATCAGCAACATAAGTGGATGTCTGAGTGGCTGTAGAGAGCTGTAGTGTTTTGGAGGTTGTGTCCCACTTTGCTGCTAGAAAGTGGAGAGGGTCGAATTCATGCTGGACTCTGGGGATGTAAATGTTTCTCTCACTGTCTTTCTATATATACACATATTATCTCACAGAAGTGAGTACACCTCTCACATTTTTGTAAAAAATTGATTGTATCTTTTTATGTGACAACATTGAAGAAATGACACTCTGCAGCGGTTTAGACAATAATGGCAGTGCGATGTGTTATTTTTAGGGGTCAAATGTACACTGTTATACAAGCTGTACTCTCACTGCTTTACATTGTAACAAAGTGTCATTTCTTCAGTGTCACATGAAAAGATACAATCAAATATTTACAAAACTGTGAGGGGTGTACTCACTTTTGTGAGATACTGTGTGCGTGCGTGTGTGTTTGCTAACTGCAGTACAGAGCAGAGGGTCTGTTGTAATGGATTTTGAGTGTGTGTTTATGTTCAACATGTGTGTGTTCTTTAATTTAAAATTATGGTTATTTTGTGTGTGTGTGTGTGTGTGTGTGTGTGTGTGTGTGTATGTGTGTGTGTGCACACATGTTGTCCACAGGCGGGGTGGTATTAGGTAGCAGTGGTGACAGTCACACCAAGACATCCACATGATTGCTCCATTAATAACCTGCTGAGACAAACTCCTTGTACTACACGCACACACACAGCTTTCCCTCAGTCATATTGCAGGTCCATGGTAAATTTCAGGGTTGCTGACAATTTTGTGTGTTAATCTGTGTTCCCGCTGAGTGTGAGTGTGTGTGTGCGTGTGTGTGTGTGTGTCTCTATGCAACCCAGGAAGCGGTTAGTGTTCTTGCGGCTGCTTGTGGTGACTTGTCTCAGTGTTTTCTTCTCGGAAAATTGGCCTGAATTACATGTATCCAGAATGAGAGGGAGAAAATGGATTTATAGAAAAACCAACAACAGGGGAGGGAGGGAGGAAAGGTTGATTGAGGTGATGCAAGAGGCAGATGAGGGGGAGTCCAGTCGAATCAAATTTATCTGAAATGGCTTTTTCACGAAGCAGGTCTGCAGCAAATTGCTTTGCAGACAAAACAAACAGGTACAGATAGAAACCCAAAGATAGAAAGAAACAGGGAGGGGCGGGGGATTGACGAGGTGAGGGGTGTTTTTCTTACTCTGGTGATGGCGGCATTGGAAGGGAGCTTGCGCCTCGGCTTCTTCTTCCTCACCTCCTCTTCTTCGTCGTATAGATACTGAGAGAGAGAGAGAGGGAGCAGAGGGAAAAGGAGGCAGTGAAAAAGTGGCAGAAGAAGGAAAGCAAGAGAGAAAAAGAGGGGGAGAGAAGGTGAGAGGCGTTTTAAAGAGTGTTATAAGGTTAATTCTGGATTATTACAACGTGGGTTTTAAAAGGATACGGCTGTTGATATTCTGTATGTTTCTTATTGTAAACAAATCCCATTAAAAAGACCAAAACAACAATGAATTGATCCCATTAACATTAAGTATAAAGTCTGTGAGCTTCCATTGTTGCACTGTCGCACTGTGTGACATGTGCACTGTATTTCTTTTTTTTTTTTTATCAGGGTGCTGTAGATAAGCACTAGTGGACATGGGTGTTAATCTGCGGCTTAAAATAGTCCCCAACAAATATACTATTTACTCTTGTTGAGTAACGTTTGATAAAAACACAGTGCCCAGCTAAGCGGAACAAAAAGTCAGAAAGAAGAAATAGAGATATGGACTAATGCATTTTTATCTTTTTGTGAGATTTACTGACAATAGAAAAAATATAGAACAACACGAGCCTTGTGATTAATTTCATAATTTTGGCCATTGTTTCAATCGATAATCATAACACAAGTACTGCTGAGGTCTGAGATCATCAAACAGGGAAGGAAACATGAGACGACCAGGCTGACCGATCTGACCCACTTTATTTTGTGATAAAATGAGAGCCTGAAATGTCGTTAATATTCCGTTGAATACAAAAGAAAACTCCTAATTATCCTAAAAGTTGAATCTGAACACCAGCCGTGACCGATTTGCTCTGTCTAGTCTCACTGCTCCAGTCCAGCAGTAGCTTCCCTCACCCCTGTATCGTATCTTTCCAATCGCTTTGCTTGGAATCAGCTTCAAAATGTCCTGAGTCTCCGGGAGCCGGTTTCACTCGTTGCATTTAAAAGTACTTTTAAGTGACTTCTGGCTGGAGATGTTATGATTAATTACTTTGTTTGTTCCTTGTTGTTGATGAATTGTGGTGAATATTTAAGAAATTTTTACCATAACTTGCTATTTATTCTGATTGTAAATTGTTATGTTTTATGTTAATGTTATATATACATATATATATATATATATATATATATATATATATGTTATATATATATTTTAATTGTGCTGCTGATTTTTTATCGCTAATGAGTTTTTTCCTGGTTAAATAAAGGTATGATAATAAAGGAGAAATGTGATGGCGAAATGTTTACACTTCTTACAAAGTTAATAAACCATGAGATGAATCAACTGCTATAATAATCATTTGTTGTAGCCCTTATACAATCACACCTGTCCATGAACAGGGTCGTCGCTGCCCTCCTGTTCTGATGAGTAGCTCTCTTCCTCCTCTTCGGAGTAGTTGTCGATGTCTGGAGAGCGATCTGCAGAGACAGAGGACATTTGAAGAATACAGGGGACGTATTGAAAGAGGAGGACAAACACAGACAGATGTGGTAAGACGCTGTGCTAAGTAGAGCTGCAATATTAGTCGATTAATCCATTAGTTGTCAACAATTAAATTAATCAGCAACTACTTTTTTATCCTCTCTGACTATAAACTGAATATATTTGGGTTGTGAACAAAACAAGACATTTGAGGACGTCACCTCAGGCTTCGGAAACACTGATTCACATTTTTCACCATTTTCTGACCATTTATGGACCAAACAACTAATTAATTAATCATGAAAAAGATCCACAGACTAATCGATGATGAAAATAATCCTTAGTTGCAGCCCTGCTTACCAGACATCTTTGCTTTAGGTCCCTCATGGTCGATTGGCTGGCTGGACAGTGAGTAGACTCGCATCTCAGCGACGGGCACCGAGGCGTCCTTCAGCTGGCTGTGGAGCCCCAGGACCTGGGCCCCCTCACTGGGGTGCTGCATCACCTGGACATAGAAAAAAAGTAAGAGAAGAGGTTGAGACGACGGTACAGTGAGTTGCATTCAACGTGTGGTTTTATTCAGACAGCCTTCAACTTTTACAAATAGCACACCAGATTACTTCAAGAGTCTCTGCCGTATTCTTCCCATGAAGATGCTTTTCAACATGTGAAAATGCAGCATAACACATATTTTAATATTTTTGTACAAATGGTGCTTTTGGGAGATTTGTTTTTTATTTCATTGATTCAGGAAAAATAAATCATGATAGCATTTGAAATGCAGCCTGTAAAAAAAACAAAACAATATTTAAGGTTTATCATGACAGCAAAAAAATCCTAGATGGTAACCAGTTTCATATCACAAAGATTATTTCATTACCTACCTGTGCTTGAGTATACAACAAACTATTTAATGAGAACAGAAAGAAGCATTTTATGTCATTAAGTTACATTGGTTTTCAATATTTTAAAAATGAAATATACAGGTTTCTATCATAGGTTTCATATTTAATTTTCTTAATTTTTAAGTAACATGCTCTGATGTTTGATCCGGATATGCTCAAAAAAGCAAGAAAGTCAGATGCATAAACTCCAAATAGAAAAATTCCCAGGAAAAGATCCTCATTTCACTCGTGCTCCTCTTATACACACAGCAGGGAAAAACACAGGGCACGATTTTCAACGACATTAGAGGAAGAGCAGGAGACAGGGGAAGCCTGAAATAAAGCTTCTGCAGACAGAGAGAAATACAGAGAGACAGATTAGACAGCAGTGAGAGAAGAAATGAGAACAGACGTAAAGCAGATGTTGAAAACTGAGAGGAGGATGATGATAATGGGACGAGGAGAAAAAAGGAGGTTGAAGAAGATAAACAAAAATAGCAGTCAGGGATTAACAAGACCAGAAACTGTCAAAGACAGCAACAGAGAAAACCTGAACATCTTCAAATTTCAGTTCTCTCTGTGTGCTGCAGAAAACGGCAACATCATGTCTCCTGTGTGTGTTTTGTGCATCTAACTGACTGACATCCAGCCTCTCTCAGCAGTCTGGCCACACTCAGAGAGTTAATGAAGTCTGAGCGGCTTATTATGAAGACAGCTTCAGCCACACATTAAAGAGAGACATTACTGCTCTACATCCATTCGCTTGGCTGAGGTTCAGCTAACCTGTTTCAGACGCTTCAAATGCTGTCAGTAGCTTTCTAAACCTTCCCGCAGATGCTAATTTTAACCACTTTCCAGGCAGAAAGACAATTATGCAAATCTGACGAGGCAAACATCACGAAGATGCAATATCCATATTTAATGAGAAACACTGGTATAATTAGATTTTTTTTTTCCTCCACCAATTTTCTCCATGAATAGCCTGAATCCGCTGATGGATTTACTGCAGGTTCATCTCCTGAATGGTGCCACCGCTTTTTAAAATTCCATTAAAAAAGAGCTCACAGAGTTAAACTACTGCCTTGACAAATGAAATTCATTATGCTGAACAACATACAGTGAATTCTGTCTAAAATCATACTTTTATCCCTAAGATAATAACAGCATTATGTGCTCCAGGCAGCAGAGAGGAAGTGGGAGGTAATTGAAGGTAGGGCAAGGTGAAGTTTGAAGTTGTGCAAATGCTAGTTAAATGGAAAACCTCAATGTTTACATGATGTCGCATAGTTAGGTCACGCTGCAAACTGATTGCAAAAAAAAAAAAACTGCAGTCACAACACTGTTATCCTCTAAAAGGTCTCACGTAAATTAAAGATGATTTCTTGATCTTGTTGGTAATTTTTCAGCATCATAAAAGCACATGAAAAAACAAACAAAGCCATGTCTTTTGACACTTACTTCTCGTAAAATACTGTTCATTTAGTGGCGGCTTCATGTTGCACATAAAAATAACAACCAGTAATAATATTTATTAATATGTCTTTTTTATCAATCTCCCTTCACCATAGACATCATATAAAAACTGAAACTTCACAAGTATCAAAGTGACACGATTATATGACGTGTTTGTGCTTTTTCCTTTTTCTTTGAGTTAAAACAATACAATATAACTATTCAAAGAAGAAATATAACATATTATTAAATCTCTCTCTCACAAAAGAAAAACAATAAAACGCTTAAGGTGGCAAATGTACATACATAGATGCTATGAGGTTAATGTGTTTGCTCACTTTATGGCTTTTGTCTGCTTATGCTAATGTTAACCTGGACTTATAAACTATGCAAAGGTTTAACTGGAGTCCTGCAGAGTACACAAACGGCGTGGGTTTTAATTTCAGGTGCAGTGTTTTATTTCACCCGTTGATGGCACCACTGCAGCACTACACATTCTTTCTGGAGTCCGACCAATACAGGAATTTTACGACAATTTCATTGATTTTGATATTTGAGGATTTTAAATTGATACAAATTTATCTGCCATTACACACGCCACAGGCACACAGTAACCCTTTAACTAGACATGCAACAATTGGCCATTAATCTAATAGTCAATTAAAGGAAAACTTATTTTGGTAAATGATTAATTATTTCAGTTATTTTTCAAGCAAATAACATTTACTGGTTCACACCTCTCAAATTTGGGGATTTGCAGCTTTTAAAAAAAATCATATTTGATGATGAATGAAATACTGTTTGGTTTTGGACTGTTGGTGAAGGCTGTTTGTTATGGCTTTTTAATTTTTCATAGACTTTAACGATTAATCAGCTGATGAACTAAAATATTTGTTAGCTGCAGCTCTACCCTTAACACAGAAGTATAAATCCAGTTTTACGCTACATTTTAGTATGTCACAGATGGCGTCTTTAAAGCAAGAGAATCTTGGAAATGAGGGCAAATTCAATGCGAAGCTGTTGTGTAAGTATCCCTTGTGGCTACACATGACAGTGTTTTCTTTGTGCTTTCTATGTGCTTTGCAAATAAACTTGCAATACATTTTTGAATTTCCACCTCACAATACCTGCTGGGGCAGTGGAGTTTACGTGTCACATTGAAGAAGCACAACGGCAAAATAAATGACATTTCTTTGAGACTTTGGGACTTTTTTTTGAGAAAACCTGAGTGTATCCCCTATAGCATATTATTTTTCTGACATTCACAGACACACACAGCTCTCGGCAGACTTTTACTGTGCCTGCGAAGGAAGTGAGTTTGAACCTATCATGCGTATGAGTCTGTGTTTGTGTCCTTTGCCCTCTGTAAAGCACTTTGTAGCTCAACCTGTCTGCTGAAAGAGCTTCATGAATAAAATTTGACTTTATTTGGGCAGCCTTCAACAGCCAGCAGACATCGCCGAAGACGTAAGCAGCACACTATAATACATTTAAAAAAGGACTGGCAGTTCGGCTTAGAGGTCACAAGAATAATTTGATCTTATTCTACTGCTGCAAGTGGTTTCATTTGCTCTTGATAAAAGACTCCACTAACTTTTGAGAGTGCAAACATCCTGGAGACCAAACTTACATCTTGATTAAGTCTGTATTCATGTCCTTTTCTTTCCATGAAGTACTTTGTGGTGAGCCAGTTAGTTCAAGGTGTTTTATGCTGTAAATCACTCTGACTTCACAGCGTATGAAAGCCACCAGTCATCCGTGAAGCGCAGGGAACATCCACACGTGCAGTGCAGACACACGCCATAAATCACAACCCTTTTATAAAGGCTTCATATTGTGAGAACACAGAATGTGAGGAGCTTTTGGCAGGAGAGGCTCAAATTTAATTGGAAGTTTGATTTACGGCAACATTTATGGTGTCTGAGAATAGAATGCTGGGGTAAAGATCAAAATCTGAGGTTTGATTTTAAAGTGCACTCACTTGAATTGTGTTTAGATGAAGGTTAAATGAAGGTTAGCAATAAATAAGTTTCGTCGCTGTGAATATAAGAATGACAAAAGGAAGAATACGTAGGGTATGAGAGAAGACCATCCCCTTTTATTCTGGCTGATAGGTTAGAAATCACTCTGTGACGACAGTGAAACGAAGTTAACCTGAGATTGGACTGGAGCAGGAGGCAGAGGGCTGCATGTTTAGGGAAATGAGCCTGTGACCGGCGGTTTGTTGGGTCAACAAGCTCAGATCAGCTGGGACATTAGTCTTGCTGAGGAGGATGAGACGCCGCTGACTCAACAACTCACAGTTGACGTGCCCTCGGACATGCAGCTCAACCTCCATCTGCTGCTGTTGGAGGTGCTCTGTGCTGAATGCGTGTGCACGTATGTTGCCTTTCCTCCACCCATCCTGCAGCCATTAACGAGTGCAGTCACAAATCATTAATTCCGAAAATACTTGTGACACACTTTACTGTTTCAATCAAGTAAACACCTCTGTAAATAATGTGTGCAAATGATTTTTTGTTTGTGTTGCTACGCAATGGTTATAGGATTTTGGACATTTTGGTGGGAAATGTTCACTATTTTCTGACAGTCAAGACAATTAAGGCTTAATTAAATTATTATTATTTTTAAAAATGTATTTATTGTACACCTGTTTTTAATTATTAAAATAAACAATTAAACTTTTTTGAAAATAATTAGGCCTTATAAAAACGTACAGTGTACTGCCTTTTAGTACAAAAGTCCCTTTTTCTCGACTGAAAAAAACGGACTTGTGATAAAAGTGTAGCTTTAAAGGCATTCTGGGAAAAGTGGGATACTAACGCAGAAGTGATTGAGAAACACTTCTGAAAGTTTCAAGAAATGGATTTTCTCATAAACCTCCATGTATCATTTTATTGTTGTATTGCTCAAGTTGAATCAAGTTGAGGTACCTCAGCCATGTTGATGAGTCCCAAGGCCAGGGTCTTGTAGCCCAGGATGGTCCGGTTCTTGTATCGCTTCCGTCGCTGTAGCATTATCTGAAGCTTGTTGGCGTCCCTCTTCAGGAAGTGTGGGTACTGCAGGTAGAAATCCACATATATACGCACATAAGCAACATGTGCACACATACACAAACACAAAACAGCTGGCAGGCTGGCTAGACGGGTTTAGATACAGACTGCCATTTGTTTCCCAGGTCATGATAATAAGGCTGATCTAGCTGGCTCGTTGCATAAGGCATTCACACCCGCTGACCTGTCTCCGGCGTCCTGAAGTGTCGAACCACTTAGCCGCATCCCAACTATGACATAACCCATCATTAAGAATGTCACCGGCTGCACTATAAATGGAACAAAACCGGCTCCTGTAACAACGTTCAAAGCCATGAAATCACTCTGTTGCTCGGTTTTAATAGGCCTCTGCAGTGCTGCTGCTGTAGAAAGCTGAATGTATAATGTATAATGTCTGGCTCGCTGCACTTGGTAAGATCCAGAGAGAGAAACTCCCTGACCTTTTAGCAGCATTTAGAAACATGGAGATTGGAAAGGATAATTTAGAGCAGAAGAAACCCCACTGGGGATTACATTAACCATGTTCTGTCTGGATGCACTAAGGTAGTGAGTGTAAAATGCTGTATGAGTGTTGATGAGTTATTACTTATAGCATCTCTGTACCTGTGCAACAAAGACTTTTTAAGTAAAGGCAAATAGATTCTGATTGGGATCAACACTATTCATGACAGATAAGGGTGCTTTACACACAAACCAGAGCCAGAAATTGCATAAGAATAGTTCCTCCAGGGTCTCATGGCATTTTTGCTTAATTATTGTGGTCCAAAGTTAATTTGTAGTTGCATGTGACAATTACATCTTCTTTGTTCTGTAAATACAATGTCAATACTGTAAACAGTTGTGACCATTTAAGGAACTCCCCCAAAATAGTTTAAGGGATTCAGGAGGCCAACAAATGGTTCACCCCCACGCTCATGCAAAACATTGCAGCAATGATCTAGGAGTGGTTATGTCTGGTAAAATATCTCAATATCTACTTGACGGATTGGCCCAAAACTTTGTACAGATTGTGTCAAATGTCCAATAGCAAAACTACTGACATTCCCAGAAATGTGTTTAGTGCTAATAAGCTAATGTTCACTTGCTAATATGTTAAGAAGATGATGAACATTGTGGCTATTATATCTGCTAAAGGCCAAGTCTGTGACATGTAGCCACATGAACGCTTCAAGGTATGTCATGCTACAGCTTGGTGTACGGCGCATAGTGAAGGAATTACGGTGTTGATAAAAACAAAACAGTGATGATAAAATTGCCATGCAATCGATTGCATATGATTGAAATAAAAAGAATAATCACTCCATTCCCAGGCAAAGGGAACTATTTATTTCCCCCAAAATTCAAGATAGTTCAGCTTGATATCAACTTTGCATAATGTATCTGCAGTCATGTTTCCACTTTTAGCGTTGAGAATTTGAGAATGCTTTATGTTTGTCAATTTCTGCGTGCTTTTGACTGACAAGCACCTGACCCCACTGAACCTTTGTCTTTACCTGCAGGGAGAAGGTGAGCTGTAGGTCGGTCTCTGTCGGCCCCGCTGAAGACAGCAGGATCTCATTGGAGCGCAGGATCCGCTTGGAGCCCTGAGCAGGTAGAGGCAGGAGAGACAGACAGAAAAGACAAAATAGAGATTGCGTGAGAGCCGGGAAAGAAAAGGGCAGAGAGATGGAAAGATTACTGTTAGTATGCCCCAGCTAACTCCAGCAGAGTCAGAACAATGAACTCTCATCAACCACATGCAGCAAGCGTAGGAGCAAAGGAGGTCGAGACAGAGGGAGGCGATGAAGAGGAATCTGACTGAGAGAAGACAGCAATGAATGAGCAAGAGGCAGCAGCAGCATGGAAGAAGAATTAAAGCAGCTTAAAGTGTATTATGTGCCAGAAACAGCAGATAATTTATAAGTTTACTTAGATAGAAAACAAGATTGAGATGGTGAAGAGTGAAAACAAGCCAAGGAGCAGAATCTGGGAGTGGAGCCACAACATTATAGAGGGATTTAAACACCTTAAATTGTATTGAGTCAACAAAGAATGTCTTCAATTATGGACAAGATCGCGACGACACAGAGCACATGAAGAGGAACAGATGAGGAGAGGTGAAGGAATAAAGGAATACACTACATTTAGAGGTAGAAACAACAGATAAACTCTTAAATTTCCATCTTAACTGTATTTTGTGGAATCAGCAGACCAACTCAGACAACATATGTTGTATTTTCTGAAATTACCCATGTTAACTTTTACCAACATGGCTGCTTCTGCTGTCAGAACAGTGTCAAAAAGGTACAGAAGAAAATGAATACTGGACTTTTAATACTACGAAACTTTACAAGAATCAAGTATGAGAAAAAATTACACAACTATGGAGGAGTTGCAAAAAGTATTTTGGCTTTAAACAAAGAGAAGAAGGGTGTCCAGATCCAATAACCTGACTCAACAAAACAACAAACGACTCAGCAGACACAGAGTATTGAAAAAACTCATTTAGCAGCATTTCAACATCTGCTGATTTGGCACACTTAATGAAAGGAATTCAACTCTTTAAGTCCTTAAATACTTTTTTGCTGATTAAAGCAAAATAAATAATTGCTGAGGCTGAAAAACTGCTGACGAAGGAAACATTAATTCAGTAAACAAAAAACGTCAGGTGTTGGTACTGTGTTCATACAGTGAAAACAAAACTTTTAATATTTTAACATTGTTGCTGCGCTGATTTTTACATTTATTAGGCTACTATTACCATTTTGCCATTTTTTGGCGAGATACCTCATACCTGCAGTTTGACGGCGATGACCACAGAGGTGAGGTCTTTATCCAGCTCCTTCAGCATGACCAGCTTCTTCAGAGTCAAGTTGAAGAGCCTGTAGACAAACACAAGAAGACTTGAATTAGGATACATCATGGTGCCTTTCCCGATGTTTAGGCAACATGCAACAATGATCAGTGGTGAATTTCTTCCCCTACAGAGCTGAATTACCAGGTTTGGCCAGAGTGTGGACAGCTAACAAGCTGTTGGCCATGAAGTATATATTAGTGAGTATATATATACACTCATTAATAATATGAGAAATGCCTCTCATTATAACCCAATGCAATTCAACAGCACCACCAACTACAGTCTAAAAAGCAGAATCGACACCTCTCTAAAATTGTTTCAACAAAAACTGATCATTATAACCTTCATGAAGGGAGGATTTACTGCGTGCGTCACCCCCTTTCTGCTTCATCTTCACTTTCTGACTCACCAGTGGACCATCAAATGAAGCAAAAAATAAAAACTGACACTTGCAGAGGCTTTTAAGGAAGATTTGTGTTTTATCTGATGACAAAATATAAAATAAAAGATTCATTTCATGCTGAAAATAGTTTGTTATTTTTGTAAAAGTGTCTTTTTTCCAACTGAAGCCAACTCTTACATCAGCACACCCGCACAAAATTATACTGGCCGTCAAATTTCTATTTGAGAAATATTGATGATCATTTTGAGAAATATTGATGAAACAAAAGTAAGTGCAATTTGTATTACTTAACCCACAACGAAACGCTTATATTGTTCGAAAACACGGAGAGACATACACAACCAGAAGCACTTAAAGAACTGAAATGGAATCAGAGAAAACACGCCACACCCAAACATCAGCTGTGCAGCCAGGGGTCAGTCTGATCAATAATTCATATCCAGGGCTTTAGAGACAGAAAGTAAACCACTACAGTAGACCTGCCGGGGCTGGCTGGAGGCAATCGAAGAGAAAGAGATAAAAAAAGGAAAAATACAGAGATGGAAAATGTCAAAGAAGGATAAACAGGAAAAAGACAGACAGGCTGACAAAGGAGAGAGAGAGAGAAAAGAGGGACTGAGACAGGAGGGAGATAATGACAAATTAAAAAAGATACAGAGAGGAGGAAACAAGCAAACCGTCAGACAATGAAGCAAGGAGAGGGAGGGAGGGAGCAGGAGACGTGAAAACTGAGAGACACATCAACAGAGAGAACAGAGATCTGGGGATGACAGAGGCTGACACAATGTGTTGAGAAAGAGATTAACTGGCTGTTTTCCAGGAGGGGAGAGGAGAAAGCCATCCTTGTGACAAAGATTTTTTTATCACGTTTGTCATAAAGTGTGATAACAGAGTATGACATTTCACTGCAAAACGAAAGCTTTAATGACAACTATAAAGATTAAAGGCAGACAGAGAGGACAGGAAAATTGCGCTCGCGATCCAAACACACCTCTCCACCCTCAACTCCCTCTCATCGCACCTGGACCTCCCTCCAAATCCACCCCACTTACTGCCTTTCATCTTTCTTTCAGCGCTCACATCCCAACACTGAAATGGACAATGGTGCGACTGCTGACGCAACCACTATCACTCTGCGACAAACAGAGAGCCTTTCTCCTCAGTCCCAATGATTCCTGAACAAGATCCAAGTGTCCAGGAGAGGCTCAACCCGCCAGTAAAAACAAATCAATGTCTGCCTCTGATAACCAAAGGGCAGCTAAGTGCAGCTTCTGCTTACACCTACTGGATCTAAGTAGAGTGAATCAAGGTGGAGAGGAGGCAGAAGAGGCCATGTGCCAGGGGTCGATTTGGGCCTGGGGTGAAGCACCTGAGGTAGGCTATTAGGGAGGAAGGGGTGAGAGAGGAGGGGACAGTCAGACTGGGAGACATATACTGTAGTGGTGGTGGAGGCAGAGATGAACTGGAAGTTGCATCTTTTTGCACTGTTGCATTTTAGAAATCAAAATCTCATCCTCCATTGTTTTAAAGAGAAAGGAACAGGAACTTCACATACAATAAAGAAAAGCAGCAAATCATGTCAGTTGAGAAGCTGGAACAAGAGAAGGTTTGGCATTTTTGCTTGAAAAATTACTTAAATGAATACTCCGTTATCAAAACAGTTGCAGATTAATTTTCGGTTAATCGACCAATCGATTGAAATGTTACGATATAATTGTAGATACGATACCCTAGTTTTGGTACCGATTCCAAAGTGAATGAATGAATGAATTTTAAAGAATTACATAAAAATTGTGTAAACAGGCAGAATTTCGATTAGGGCGAACAATTTGGCGGAAAAACCTAAAGTCAGACACAGAACGGCATAGAGAATACGGTTGATTTTCAAAATAAAAGACCCTTTGCAGACTCCCAATCGTACATCAACAATAAACACAGTTAAAACAGACAAAATAACTAACAATTCAACTATGTAGCCTACTTAACCATAGTAGAAGCACAACTAAAGAAATAAGCAAACTCTGAACAAGTAAGCAAAATCAGACAGTTAACACATTAACAACATGTAGGCTAAACGCTGCTGAAACACTTCATTGAGAGTTGACGCCGGACACAACTGCTGCCTGTGTCGGTTCGCTGACACCATTATCCCCCTTTTTCCACTAGTTTCGTTTGTTGTTGTAAAATGTACACACCCTGTGTCCGCTCTGATTGGTGAGTAGGACCGTAATTGGAGGCGCATGGCGCTTGTGATTGGCAAGCATGACAACAGAATTCATTTGTAACTGCATGACTGTTTAAAACAGGTCAGATGTGCTGTATAATTAACCTATATTTTAATCGCCGTCTTTATGATTAGCTAATCGTTTTCTTTCAAATCGCAATTTCGATTTATAAACGATTAATTGTTCAGTACTGATTTTGATCTATACCAAAAATCGAATTAAAGAATAAGTAAACAAAATTACAAATTTATGAATACGCATTTCGCTACTCCTACTCAATGGAACGTAATAAAGCCCAACTGTTCTGCTTTTTAATCATTGTATTAATGAATAGAGGCCTACCAGCTTTACAGGAACAGTGTTGATCGTTGGACTTTTGGCTTTTTCACTTTGCAAATTCTATTACATGCACAAAAAAGATAACTCATTAAAAGAGAGGGGAAAAGCCAAAAAGCATAATACCACCTTTAACGCATTCATTAGACATACATTAGAGAGGCTGGGACCAGCACAAGTGGCTAAAACTTCTATCTATTCCCAAAGGAGATGGTGATTTATTTCTGTCTGTTGACACATTTTTTCAAAATGTGAGCCCACGTCCCTCCAGTTTAAAGTGTCCCTTCAACTGTAACATGCTGTTCAGGGGGAATCTAAAAGGACTCCAGTTTGTATGAAGTCAGTCTTAGCAGTTGGCACACATCAGACGGACATCATTGATTTGTTCCTCCTCTGTGAGCGTTTCCCTCCCAGACTGCAATCAATCAGAGCTGACGAGACAGTAAATGTTTACGACACCGCCGGGGCCTTCTTCGTCGGACATCATAGCTGTAGGTTATAGCTTTTGGAGGGTCCTAAAACTCCTCGGACCAAGAGTATGATGAATCAAAACTCAACCTCTCAATTTACTGCGGTCTCTTAATCAACTGCTCGGTGGATCATTACATGGATGATATAAAAACTTCCCTCGAGATAAGCTAACGGTAAATAGCCACGATGTATTTCATTTTTGCTCAGTAAATGGATGCAAGTACCAGTGGGATTTCTGCATTACTACTTCTGTACTCGGCCGAAAAATCATCTTATTGCAGGAAACAGCTGCCTACAGGAGCACTATTTGCTACAAAATACTTCTATTTGTACAAAAAATGAGAAGAGGAACGTAAATTATAGTCAACCGTGGTCTTTAGCTGCTGTTTTTATTAATTTTCTGAGACTTCTCTCACAGGAAAATTGCCAGGGCACCTCTGCGGCGACCCCCGCACTCTTTGCTTAACAACGGTAAATCCCTCCGGATGAGACAAATGCATAAAAAACAGCTCCAGCCTCGCCTGCCACACACTTACAGTACATGTCACTGAAGCCGAGAAGGGGAATCACCTTTCACATGGTAAAGGTCAAAACAGTCTGCCTGCCACAACTGCTTCCTCACTGGTCCAGTTCTCACTTCACTGCCCCGTCTCCTCGAGACGTAGCCTGTCACTACACCTCGACAGTCACTACACATCATTATCAAGCTGAGCAAAAGAAGTGACAAGAGCAAAGGAGGTTTCTAAGAAAAATACTAAGGAACAAGGAGCAGTACAGCAACTAGGAAACAGCATCTTTGTTGCACGGTTAAGGATGGAAAAATAAGAGCACAACATCGTCTTTCTTGCACAAATAATTACAAATCTGTTTCTACACCGCAACAGCTGGGATATAATTATAGGCTCCAATGCATAATGGCAAAAACAACAAACCAATTTGTTTTCTGGGGAACCAGGATTTTGATTAATTCCCAATAGAATCTACGTCTCTTGGATCCAAATTAGTTTTTTATACTGGTACTTGGACTAACAAAATTATGCTGAAGAAAGACTTTATGTATTTATCCAACGAATGTCAACAAGTCTGATATGTTGCTTCCTCCTTTCTCCAATGCAAACCTTTGAATCCCCTTCATTGCATTTAAAGTATTATACAAATGAAGCTGAGTTTTTAGTTTAAATGCATTCAGATATTTCTCACTTATTAAAGATAGATATGAATAGGTGAACAGGAAACTGGGACACAAGTGGGGGACTATTTCAGTGGCAGATCAATACACATTTGGTAATCTATTTCCTGCAGCACGTCAGTATATGTAACATAAGGGCTGCAACTAACAGTTAATTTATTATTGATTCATTGGCTGATTATTTTCTCAAATAACTGTGAAACACGCCCTTCACAATTTCCTAGAGAGCAAGGTGATGTCATTAAAGGTCTTGTTTTGTCCGACTAACAGTCCAAAACCCCAAAATGTTGTGTATATGTGCTTTAATGTCAGACCAAGATAAACAGTTTATTCTCACATTTAAGTCATTTTGCTTGAAAAATGATTAATTGGTTTTTAAACAAATGACGAATCGATTAATC